GAGAGAGAGAGAGAGAGAGAGAGAGAGAGAGAGAGAGAGCTTGGTGACATTTGGATCCAGACTCGACATTGGAGTTCAGACATTTTGAAGAGGGATTATTTGGGACTTGTAATGAGACTTGGTGTTGACGACTTTCCCATCTCCCCATTCCTCTTCTTCGTTTGATCCCCTTCTCTTCGTCTGTGTATGTCTGGACCTGGCGCCTCTTTCCTGTGTATAGCGCCAGGCCCCTTCACACCTTGTGATGAGCATGATGTATGTTTGGTCTGCGTTGAAACATCGATCGGGCTAGTCATTAGTATTCTAGCATCCTGCTTCACTATCTTGTACTACGTGAAAGAGGTCAGTCCCAGTCAGGTCAAGACTTGTATCTAAATCTTCCACTGCGCTATAAAACACCATTTTTGTATGTATTGGAATGCACATTGCTTGTTGAGATTCCACTTGCACTGCATTGTCCATTCAGTCCTTTTTATCACATTGCGGATCCTCGGTTTGTATGTACATCGCCCAACTGGGCATGTAACACTCCGTCTTCCCGCCATCTCTCTCACTCTCTCACTCTCACACACACACACATACACACACACATACACACACACATACACACACACATACACACACACATACACACACACGCATACACACACACACACACACAAACAAACAAACAACACACACACACACACACACACACACACACACACACACACAAAAGTCTTCACGCACACATTTGCAAATTTATCTCTCTCTGTCTTCCCCCCCTTTTTTTTTCCGAAGGCCCGCATGGCCTCAAATTTTTGTTTTTATTTTTTTGTGGTTTATGATGCAACATCCCACTCGGGCCTAAAACACCCCTCCTCGACTTTTTTTTTTTCTTCTCTCGACCCCTTGTTTTCAGGGTGCGCCGCACCCAGTGCGCACGCGTCGTGTGTTGTGCGTGGTGCGACGCGTGTGCGCAGTGCAGCGCACGTTGATGCGCCGCAAGTATGCTATACTCTTCTCTCAATATACCTCACACTACCTAACAGAGGTCGGTCGATTCACAAGTATCTGATACTAGCCTCTCGGTTTAAGCCTAGCCCCTGGCAAGGGATGGAAGGGACGAAGGGATAGCCTCCACAAAGACCAACTATCTCATCTGGTGAACCCGAAGCGCGCCTCTATTACTTTTTTTTTTGAAACATGTCCTTATGGTCCTCGCTCCTTTTCCATTCTGGGGAGTGTCAGCCCGGTCACTTTTCCCCCCCGGCACGTCAGAATAGATACATCGTACAGTCTCAAACGCTGCCTTCTATCTGGCCGAAGGAGTCTGAAGGACCCCTTGACCAGCATTGATTGCTCCATGATATGGAGGATTGACTCTCAGCTTGCTGTCCTTTGACACTCCTCCCAGGCTTGGTTAAAAGTTAAAACTTAAAAACAGATCCACCTGCACCTGGCAACACCGTCTCCAATCCCGAATGTGTTGCGTTTTGGATCAGATAACATGCTCTCTTTGGGAAGAGTAGGAATACAAAGGGGGGTGGGGAGGGGAAGGAAGAAGAATACAACCGAATTCCCAAATGGAAACAAAAAAACTCCATTACACCGTTCCACCTGTGCATTGCTGCAAACTATTTTTCGTTAGCTTCTGAGCCTTGTGACCCATTTTTTGAAATACTGAAAACCAACCCTTCGCCTCGTACTTTCCTCTCCGTGCCCCATTCAACTGTGACAGAGCTGTACGGAAATCTGTTATTTTGTCGCAGACTCACAAACAAACGGTCCTTTCATTTTTTTTAAGACTGAAGCCGAACGACCTTGAGATATCAGCATTGAGGATGACTGAACTGACCAGATGGAGGTAATTCAGAATTATGTTATTCTGTTCTTATGACTGGATCTGGATCCGAACTTGGCTCCGGATTTCAACAGTTCATGGGTGTACCAACGATCCACACTATTCAAAAGGCCTGTGCAGAGACAGCCATGGTCCATTAGAACCTCAAAAGATCTGTGCATGGATAAAGCAGCTTGGGCAAGCGGGGGGGACGGGGGGGG